CAAAAGTTGGTTAAAACTTACTACATCCATTAAATAATCGGCTGGCCACGCGCACATAAATACTGCTAATAGAGTAGTTGCAGACACGGTAAGAAATTGAAATTTCACGGTAAACGGTTGCCGCTATAACAGTATTAATCGCTAAATTACTTCTTAATTTATTCCGAAGTAGAAGTAGAAAAGATTGTAAAATACTCACCCCAATAAAAATGACGCCACCAAACACACTTTCGATGCCACAGATGCATAACGTAATTAGAGTTGTGTATCGAGCCGAGCTTACCACTTCTTCCGCGTATCTAACAATAAATAATATTATATAATTTCAAATACATATATAAAATAACAATAATAATGTAATTTCGAAAAAGATGGAACTTTTTTTAAAAAATATTGATAGTACTTATAAATCTTCACGAATAATGTTATTTCAGAAACTTCATTCGATATTCGTCGAAACTTCAATGACAATTCAAATTTCACGTTCCATCTTTTTCAGATTTACCTCAACTTGATTCCCTTTTTTTTTTTCTCATCAACAACAAAATCATACCTTCTGATGGCGTAATATTTTTCTATGCATTTTATCAGCGATTCGATATTTTCAACAGCGCGGAGTTCGTTCATCAAAATTTCAAAGCGCGCAGCAGCGAAGAGTAACAGCAACGCGCAAAATATATTGATGCACAAATGCGCGGAGCATTGAAAACCAACGAGCGCTTGTTGCACAAAAACTATGCTTCTCACGAGCTCGAAGTGAACGGGAAATGGATATTCCGCGTTAGTTGGGAAGGGATCGGATATGAAGAGTGTCCCCACAACAACGATAAGAGCGCACCAATAAAACCAAATTGCGGAAATACCATAGAAAATGGCATAGTTGTTCGCGTATCCTTGAAAGACTTGCCTCTCGTACGAGTTTGCATTCTCGCAGCAAAACTTCATCTCTTTGATCAATCGCTGCAACACGTTACTACGATCACTGAGATTTGTGGCGGTGTTAACGAGGATAAAATCTTACCTGAAATCGATCATACTGAGTGATACAAAAAGACGAATGTAAAGGCACTTGTATAACGGCAAGTGACAAAGACATTGATTTACAGAACATCGCATTGTCGTTTCGATTCACGTACACCGCGTACAACAAAGGAAAGAAAAGTAGAAGTGAATTGAGAAATAACAATGATCTTATGATCTTGAAACAACGCGTTTGGAGTTTGGTGGCTGTCGATGAAAGTGGCCAACAGCAGGATAAACTCACGATAAATTGGGTAAATGCGATCGCTTTTTCTGGCGTTGCATTTCCAAACATGATAAAAGTCAGAATCTATGATCACAATCTTCACAAAACTGTTTGCTTCGATTCGATCGATGAAAATTGTAAGAGAAATAATTTGCGCGAGTATGATTCGATCGTATGCCGAAATAATGACGATCGTCTCGACGCCAAAGAAATAAAATATTGCGTTTGTTGTAGCACTAATAATAGACTTCGAGTTTCTCTTTCCGTTTATGCGCGCAATTATTTTCTTACGTGCGATTACTGCTGTGGGAAGGGTTGCATGTGGAACGTGAATTAGTGAATCCTTTGCTTGGAATCTATTTCTTATTAAACATAAATGTAATAGCACTGAATATTACAAGTGATTCTTATGATCAAATCTGGTAAAGTTTAGATAATACAGATAGTACTTACATTGTACCTCAAGTAACAAAGAGCTGTGCTTAATAGTTTCCAGAAGAGTTTATATGTTAATATCTATAGGAGGGGATGTGAAAGTATCATCAATCAAAAGGAAAGTTGGTTGCAATAATACGAATAATTACAAGTAACATTACAATATACAGAGTAACATTGTATTGTACATTTACATATCTATATTATTAAAGTATATTATTAAAGTTTTTTAATCTTGATATATATGTATATATGTTTCTTAAAAATATATATATATAATATTAAGTGATATCGGTATTTGCTAAAATTTTAAAATTTCTTTGTATGATTAAAATTTGACTATTCTTCTATTTTTCATTAAAATCATTCCTAAAAAGAATTTTTTATACATAAAAAAAATAGAAGAATTATCTTTTAAAAATCAAAGAAAATATTATACTTTCTATATTTTAAATTATTATAAGTATTTATGTATTTACTTATATTTTTTTATAAGAAATTTTAAAAATTGTTTATTTAACAATTAAATTTTAAAAAAAGATATAAAAATATGAAAAAAATCAAATAATTGTTTTAATATGATTTCAGTAATGCAATTCAAAAGCACAAATATACAGAAAAATATCTTAAAATGATATTTAATGTTTATTTTATGATGAATTCTTATCTATGAGGACACGTAAAGCGGTGAAGATGGAGAAAGTATTAGACAAGTACTGAAATGGTATAAATTTGTTGATTATTCGATTAATTCATTTCGACTGACATTCAAGAATTTACTTACCGAACAATAATAACGCAAAGAAAGTTCTGATAATATACATTTAAAGGAAAGAATTAGTGGTTTTTGATACGTTATCACGCTTAATAGATTTCTTTGCAATTCTATTGTTTGTTCGTACCACACAGAATTATACGCACTTTGTGAAATGTTCATGCTCTAAAAATTATAGAAGATTGAATTAAAAAATGATGCAACTCATTAATCGCATATAATGGAATTTCATTTACCATGTCCTTTATGTAATCAGCTGGCCACGTGTAAAGATAAATTTCCGCGAGCACGGTAAAACATAAGATTATGAACTTCATTTTCACAAGTATCGGTGCATTCTATATATAAATTTTATTATTATTAATTTTAATACGATTCTTTTAGCAAAAAGTTAGATAAAGCCGAGTTTCCGATAAGAAAATGTTTTAAAACACAAAAATAACAATTTTTGAATGAAAATTAAATATTTTATCACATATTTTGTGATACATTTCTTATAATGCTACGATTAAACATTTGAAAAGAAAAATGCTTAATTTATAATTGTATGATCCATTTAAAATTTCCAAGAATTTATTTTGCACTCGTAATAATATTTTATTAGAATAAGAAATGTAACAAAAATTCGGTTTTATCCCATCTTCCACATGATATGAAAAATATCACAAGTTTTACTTACTATGATCAGTATAATCCCGCATAGAGTCAGAGAAAACGTATTTATTGCTATAGCATAAAGTACAATAAATCGAAAATTATCGATCACTTGTTCCGCGTATCTAAAGGAGAAAATGATAAAAATTTATTAATAAAATTTGAAAATTTCGATCTCAAAAAAATTTATATTTACCTTCTTAAACGTAGTTGTTTTTTAACGCAAAGGATCAACGTATGGATGTTCACGCAATTCTGCAATTCCACGGCCAAACATTCGAATCTCGCGGCTGCGAACCATAGTAAAAGCGCGCCCATCATGCTCAAGCATATATGCGCAGCGCCTTGAAAACTGAGGAAAGCTTGATGCATATACACGATAACGTTCACGGGTGCGTAATTAACGCGAAATGGATATTCCGCTTCCGATGGAAAGGTGATCGGTAGGACTATCGGTCCTAACGAAAAACATATCGCGGTCACGTACATGCAAGCTATGGAACTTCCACAAAATCTGCCGCATTTCTCGATATACTTGCAAAAAATTTCTTTTTCGTATTGATTCGCTTCCTTGATACAAATCATCATTTCTTCGATTACACGCTGCAATTTGTATACATTTAAAATAATATCATCCTTATTTTTTAGTTATATCAAACTATATCGAAGAGAATAACGACTTACCTGCAATGAATCGTGATTAACGAAGCATATAAAAGTTTGCATAATAAGCTGAGTCAAAGTTATCGACAGACAAACGCACTGGGAAGAAACGATGATATCGTCGAAATGCAAATAGATCGAATATATCATGGGAAAGAGCAGCATGAAAATGCTGATAATGCTAACGATCTGTAAAATTTTAAAGCCAAATATTCGACCCCTGCCGCTACTCATAGGAAGTGGCCAACAAACTGTTATTACTACGCTGAGCCAAGTAATGCGAATCACTGTTTCCGGTGTCATTCGTTTCGACATTATTGGAAGAAATTGTTCGCCTCGTGAATCGAATAAAATAAAATTTAATTGGGGGGGAAAGAACGATAAATAGAGATTGCCAGAAAGTAGCATATAATTACATCGTATTAGAAAACAACTGAATGTTCACATACACTGCTCGTGGTTTTACACGTGCGAGGAACTTAATAAATCACGTTCAATATTATTCTTAAAAACAACTTTTATAGGATACCGATTTTCTGGAAGAGTTTTTTTTTTGCTTTGTTCTCTTGTTTATAGTAATTATTGCTTGCATTATAGATCGGCGATGATTATAGGTAAGACAGGTGCAAAGAATGGCTATCACGCAATAGTATTCTTGACAGCGGAAGAACATCGAGTATGTATATTTAGTGTGATATAAATACTTATAAATTAAATCATTGTTACATTGAATGACTTTGTACTTTTTTTCTCTATTATATAAATTATTGTAATAATTTAAAAGAAATATCTTTTCAAAATATACAAAATACGTGTATATGCAAAAATGTGATAGAATAAAGAGATGAAGATATTTTAAAAATATTCAAAGTTCAATCTTCGCAGAGATTGTTACTATCCAGAGAAGAATTTTCCAACATGGAATACATAAATATCTTATTTACTATGATACAGATGCAACTTATGTAGAGACTGAAAATAATCTTCTTATGTTGCCATGTAAAAAATTACTATTGAAAAAAATGTACTGCATCCAGAGTAAGACTTTTCATTCATATATTTTATTTTAAAAAAAGCACAACGATTGCATAACTTTCTATTCTAAGCAATAAATTTATTACACGTTGCAATAATATTCAAATAATACAAACCAGGATATATTATGATTCTATCATAGTTCTCATTGCCATGAAGTAGGACGATATTGTAGTTACAAACTATAAATCATTGTATATAACACACACACATATATATATAAGTCTTTAAAAATTAAAATGCTAAGTTATACACGAGATGAGTGACTGAAAATGCTTACATTTGAACAATATTCCAAAGAAAGAGGTGGTAGTAAACTACTCATTCGAGTAAGAAATGCTTTCTGACTTCTTATCATCATGAAAATCACGCAACTTTTCATTTTTCTTGATTGGCCCAACCATTGAATATCATTGATCGATTGTGCGAATTGTATACTCTGGAAATAAAATTTTTTATTTAATTAGAATTAAAATCTTCACCATTCGAATATGGAATGAAAATGAACAATGGTAATAATCTGTTTAATTTTTAAAAGAAAAAATATATAGAAATGTGCACACCAGATGAGATGATGTTCTATCGAATTTTTATTATTGGCTGGCTTACACTTTCTCTTAAATTGTCTGCCGGCCAGGCGATGACGAACAAGTGCAACATGCCTGACATTACCAGAGGAAGAAATTGAGTGACCACGCCCAATGATTGATTCTGAATATTATTACAGAAATGTTTATTTCATAGAAAATCATCCAATGAACTTTAACCCTCCATGCCACGATTTCCATAAAAATTCCACGAGTTTTATCTAATTTCTAGAATTTAATCTCTAATTTTTAATATAAGAAGTCATCACAAAAAAAACATTACATTTTTATTGAGTTCTTTGCCATTTTTTAAATATTATTCATTTATGACGAATCAAGTGGCTGAAGGATTAAGGATTCCTTGCTCGGTTATTACTACACTACTGTGTGGTGCTAGAGAGGTAAGTTTTCGACCAAACTCACGTTAAGCAGGGGGAAAGCTCCGCATATCACAGTGCTTCCCATCGTGACGTTCGTTTTGAATAATAAAGTCTCAACAGTAGCATTAGTATCCTCCACAAATCTAACCATGACACAGTCTTAATTTATTCAACTCGGTAAAGAATCAACTCTCTTGAAGTAGCTTAATTCTATATTGAACGATGTAATGCACTAAAATGCATTGTCTTCATTCAACGTACCAAAATAATATTAACTACATAAAGAAAATAAAAAATAAGAAAATAAAAGATAATACATTTGACTTGTGTTATTTACATAAATGCTCTACGATTGAAATGATAAAACAATATAAAAATTACACAAATAGAAGACATGAGAATCAATTTTTTTAAAGCTATTTTACTTCATTATCAATAATCTATTTTCTTACAATGCGTTTTATTCTTCCTATTTTTAATTCACGAATTTTTAAAATTTATAGGAACATACAAATAATATAAATGTTTCCACTGTATAAAAATCAAATAAAAAGTACAAGAGATTTCACAAATAATTAAATAGAAAATATATATGTCATACCCTAATATTTTTTGATGTTCCTTGATACAGTTCACCAACATGTCGTGATTATTCACATGCCGCAATTTTGACCGTAATACGTCTAATTTGGCAG